AGACTAATATTTATTTTTAATAAATCTCTTCTTTAAAATACATAATAATATATGAAGTGATTTATTAAAAAGCAACTATCTAAGATAGTTAATATAGTAATTGTTGCGCTGTAAAAGTCATCTACGACCAACAGCATACACACTAAAAAAAACGCCCCTGACAACAGTACTAGGAGAAAACAAGAAGTTCCCATGTGATAAAGTTAAATATCTCAAATTATTCTACGCATATGATTACTATTTACAATGGTACCTATTCCATTCCTACGCGCGTTAAACCGCTATAAATACCTATTCCAAAACCGCTATATATAGATTAATTTTGCTATTGATATAATCATCAACATCATCAGCCTATTAATGTCCCCACTGCTAGGTCACAGGCCCTCTCAATGGATGGAATAGGGCTATTGGGCCATGACCCACCACGCGGACCCAATGCGGATTAGCGGGTGCTAATGACTGTAGATGCAGCCGGGCCAACGGCTTAACATGCCTTTCGAAGCACTGAGGAACACGAGTTAAAAGATTTTTACATTTGCATACGTCTCCTTTAGTGAAAATTAGAAACAAGAAGCGCAATCATTAATCTCAAGAGAATACAGAATAGAGAATATTTGTAAAAAAATGTAGAAAAAATCCAAATAATACTTTGAAAAAAAAAATTTAAGAAAAAAAAGGATTGTAAATAAGGTAATAAATGTTTTAGAAGTGTTTGATCGCAGCAGGGAAGTAACAAAGGACGTGCAAAAAAAATACATTTTGATTATGAGCATCGGCACGGCAGTGCTATTCTGTAAGATCAAAACTAACTTTCACCTTGGAATCCGTGGTGAAATTTAAAAGTAAAACACACGTTTCAAATCACTCCGGCGAATTTTTAGGTGGAAAATGAGTTTATTTACAGAATAGAAATGCAGCTTACTAATGTAACCACTTCTGGGGCACAGTCCTACCTTATTGAAAAGGGATAATGAGTCATGCACTACGAATTGGTGGATGCTAACATAGATTAAAAGAATCTAAAGATGCTAACGATTGTGGATGCAAGCGGGACCAACGACTTAGCGTGCCTTCCGAAGCATGAAGAAACTCGAGAAAATAAATTTTGGTCACCCATCCTGGCCGGATGACTGGTAATTAAGACAGCTTGTTCTCACCCACAATCGCAGACCGAACCACTACACTATCATTTTAATGAAGGTTTTTAAAGCTTGCCATCAATGTCGATATTATGAAAATACTAAAAAAAATCAATGCAAATAGTGCGTACTTACGCAAACCAACAACAAATATAACGAAAAGCGAACCGCCAAACGAAATGAACTGCTACACCGACGCGACGATTGGAATGCGTCCTGTTGGTTAAGCACTTTATTATGACGAAGTATTCATTAAATGATTGATCACTTAGATTAATGGATGAGCGGCGCGCACTGTTGACATAGCTGACTGAGCGAGGCCCGAGCTTAATTCATTACAGGGGTACACATTCAAAAAGATATTGACATTACACTACCAAGTATCGGATCAGATATTGATATTTAATTGACTGTAGGCCTTAAGTGTTTTGATGGAACTTACAACCAATTAGACGATATTATAACTTCTATTAACACGTACGTGTTTATTTTTGCTCGATATAGCCAGGGAGTCACACACTACACAACCTTTCTTAGAGTGTAAACACTTTAAACTCTCTACCAAATAGGGTATACAGAAGGAAACAGAAATTTTCTACAACATCCTTTAAAAGAGGTGTAGAGTCCACACTTGCAGACTGCCAACTTGCGTGTAGTTAGAAAAGAGAATTAGGTAGTTTAAATTGCATTTGACTAAACGAAGCACTCTTGTACCTCAGTCTGTTTGTGGTTTATTCAATTCAATTCAATTCAATTCATTTATTGCAGACCATAATGGAGATACAAAGGTGGTAACATATAGACAAAAGTGCATTATGGACCCTGTAGTGTAGGGTATCGCAATTGCAAGAGGAGAGGACGTCTTATTCATAATTCCTTATTGTGATATAATTTGTTATATCCAATGAATTAAAACCCATAAAAATTATTTATTCATACTACTCCAATAAGATATTGTATAATTAGATTTATGATTTATGTACGATTATTAATTATGTAAGTATTGTATTATACCTTTTTATAATAAAAATAATATTGTATTTGTTATATTTATTCCATAGTAGTTTTATCATTTAGGTATTCCTGGAGGCTATAATAGCATTTATTCAATAACATTAACTTATTTTTTTTAATAAAAACATTGTAATTTTCTTCATTTTTTAAATTTTCAGGTAATTTATTATAGATTGTTATAGACATATTATAAGTGCTCGATGAGCATAATTTAAGGCGAGTAGTTGGAACCATTAGGTTTTTCTTGTGTCTCGATGTATATTTTGAAGGAATGTTTTCTCTTCTAGTAAAAAAAAATGAGTATTTTTTTACAAATTTACAAATCTCAAATATATAAATGCTTGGTAAAGAGAGAATTTCATATTTTTGGAAGTAAGGTTTACAACTTTCAGTTTGGTTAATATTAACAATAATACGAATAAGTTTCTTTTGTAGTGTAAATAAAGAGGATACGTCCGTACTGTTCCCCCACAAGATGATTCCATAGGTAAACCAGGCATTGGCATAAGCATAATATGTGATAAGAGCAGTCTTTAGATCTGTTGTTTTTTTGACCTCTCGAAGTGCATATGTAAAACTAGATAATTTATTTTTTAACATCTGGATGTGAGATTTCCAATTTAAGTTAGTGTCTATAGTTATACCCAGTAATGAAAAATCATTCACACATTCGATATTTTTGTTTTGAAAACTATAACAGAATTTTAGCGGTAATTTTTGACGCGGGTGAAAGGTTATTAATTTAGTTTTATCAAAGTTTATTCTAAGGTTATGTTTGTTTAACCAGTTAAAAGTCTGGGTCATTATTAAATTTAATTTGGTTTGTAAGTTGTTGTTGTTTTTACAAGATGTGAGAAGAGAAATATCGTCCGCAAATAGGACACACGGTTCCTCTATTGTTTTAGGGAGGTCATTGATATAAATTAGAAAAAGGAGACATCCGATGACGCTCCCCTGAGGAATGGAAGCGTTTATAGTTTTACTTTCAGAGAGAACCTTTAATAAAGATAGACCTTTGTTTAATAAAGATTGACCTTGATTATGCATATTATTTTGTGCATCAGAATGTGCCGCCAGCCCATCACGCCAAGGGGATTATCTTTCACCATTTTTAGGGAAATATTAAAACGTTCAGGAAATATTAAACCCTTTGTTTCGGTTCAAAGGAATATTTTGCGCCTTGAATAACGGCGCCGCGTCACACGCTACCTACATCTACATAAACTTACTCTGGATGTAATTTTATATCATTTTATCCTAGGTACTGATCTCATAAAATTCTAAAAGAGGAATCAATATTATTGGAAAACTCGCGTTGAAAAGGGTGAATTTATATGAGTGAATTATAACTCTGGCAAACATGAGGATACTGTTTGTCGTAAAATTAACACTTAAAAAAGAGAGATATCATGAGGATATTTCTAACAGTATATCAATACAGGAAAGCAATGAGAGTACTAAGACCATCTAGGCTTAAACCTAATCTCCCTTTGTACTATTGAGGTTTAGCAGTAACCTCGTAGTGTAGAGCATTGTTTTCACTGCCTGTCTAAATGTATGATTCATGTCACCAATAGATACACGATACACAGGTACCTTGAGCCAGTACATTTATATGAATAATTATCATATTTATTGTAATGGTAATCCGGTTTGCTTCAGTATCAACATGGAAACATATTCGAAATCGCATTATATTAGCAAAATTAATGGAGTCACAACCATTCGCTGCAAGCCAGTGAACACGCTTTTGAGTAATTCAATGAAGCTCTCCTCACGGTTGTTTCCCAGAGAGCCGGGCAGAGGTTAAGGAGGTTCCACTCGCTTCCCACTAAATCATTTATCGATCAGATTACCTATTAAATTGTAGTCCCCGAAGATACCAGACGGACGTTCCGATGTGTTTCCCATTTTCACTGAAGGTTCTTCAGTGATAAGAAGCTCCGGGGTGGGACAGCATTACCATTTAAATAGGAAAGGCACGTTATACGCTCCGAGCTCACTTACCTTGAGTCACGCCAGTGTCGACTCTCCGAGCATCATTTAGATTATAACATTTTATTTTTCAAATAAATCTTTCGACGACGTTGGTAATAAGATTCCGCTGGAGAGTATCAGCCTGTAAATTATTCAGACGCTCGACAACTGCTGCTCGCGTCTCTTTGTGCGCCGTTTATTATGTCGATGCATTCTAAAGTACTACAAATTTGCTTCTTGACACTCGCTCGGATAAGAGTGAATTATTTGATGTATTACATCATCACGTCTCTTTATTGTGATGTATGTAGTGGCGAATTCAAAGTGCTACTTATGCACGATGTGAGAGTAGCTAATGAAATTAAAAAGATGTCAGATAATTCAGATATCTATTGCTTAGATTTTTCATTTTATAATAGAATATAACTTCGTGTTTGAAATTGAGATAGTTTTACAACTCGATTCTTAAAAATTCGTCCATCCATCTCCTAACATTGGTTTTTTAACGGTCTAGTTAAGACGTATTCTCATTTTAATATATTATTTAACTAGCAAACCAGTGAACCAAATTTTCACCAAAACCTGATTTAAAAAAAAAATGTATTTAATTAATTGAGAACTTCGGAGATTTTTTGTGGTTTCGTTTAAAATTCGTGATTTCTCGAAAACCGGAAGTGCTACGTTACTCAAATCCGGTTTGTAGTCTTATCAGACTATTCTTAACTTATAACTTAAACGTTCTCTTTATCTATCTCTTACGGTTTGGCCGCTGAAACAGCACCACAGACGGACGGACGGACGGACTTGTCTAATAGATAAGAGATGTTCACAAAAAATAATAATACATCAACTTTTCATTGTCGACAGATATCACGTGTAGCTGAACATGCTGTGACTACGTGAGAGACACAGACGCAGTTGCCCTGGCCCGTGGGTCGGGAGAAGATCGAGAGAGGAGGAGAGTCGGCTAGCTGGCGGGGGGAGGGGCGGGACGGGGGCATGGAGGACCCACAGCGCGCCGAGCACGAAGCCGCCTGCGCACTCACCAACAACAGCACGGAGCCACCATCTGGTAAGCAAACATTTTCTCGTATCATGAAGATGACAAATAAGCACACGGTGAGGACACGAAGTAAGCAGTCATCATGGCAGGGTAACTGACACTGTTAAAACATTATCACAGGCATTCCTTACACATTATATACCTTGTGAGATTGACAAAGTATCAAAGGAAAAGCTTGACAGCTTGAACATAATGAGTGATTTACATAACCACACCTCATAGATAACCATGTGCCTCAAAAACACCACAATTGGCATTAGTTAAGCTTAAGATTTTATCTGAAACAACAGTGACTGTTTGCCGTCCTTTTACCTACTCTAACTTCCTTTACGTGACTTTTTGTATCGGCGACCCATTTCTTTGTCCACTTTCTTGGAAAATGTAATTCTAGGACAGTACAAATGTCCCAATATTATACACAGTGAAGGTCCTTCAAAAGCACAAAAAGAGGCCTGAAAAAACATGTATCTATGTATGTATCTATCTAATGTAGCATCTGGATTTCATGTGCTCTCAACATCAAATGAGTGGAGTAATTTGTAATTTACCTTAAAATCCGAACTCCAATTAAAGTAGCTGAACTAGTTAGAGTGGGTGTTTTCTATATTAAGTTTATCTTATATTTATCAGAACATGTTTTCGACTTTGCAGGTGTATACTGCGAGGGTACGTTCGATAGCTGGGTGTGCTGGCCACACACTGCCGCCAACTCCACCGCGTACGCGCCCTGTCCAGACTTTGTGCCAGGCTTCCGACCGGAACGTAAGTCAAACATTGTATCTTCCGTTTATTGTTCATGTTCGTCGTGAGTCCGTTTTATCCTCTTACCTCTTACGAGGGTGCAAGGTTTTCAGCTTAATTATTGTATCCACCATATGATGCTCTTTTTCGCCATCCATAACCAAGCCCAGGTTTCGAACCGATTCCACCCTTTCTAGAACTACACAATCAATAACAAGTTCTTCGTCACAGTTCTTCACTCTATCGATTTGGGGTTTAGTTCCCAGGACTAAAAGCTTTTCATTTGTCTGGGTTTAACATTAAGGAATTCTGCTGCGACCAGGTAAGAACATTATGATGGTCTTTATTGATATTTGTAATGGCTTCCATCACATTTTTGGCTTCAAAGAAGTAGTACAATTGGGCAATATCTGTGTATAGATGATATTTACATGATTGTAGGTGCTGCGGTAGATCAGCTGTAAGAATATCAAACAATACTGGACCAAGTATAGAGCCCTGCGGCACACCTCGGGCAACAGATTTTGTCGATGATAGTAGTGTCTCATCTCCCTGGTCAAAAATCATTACCATTTGCTCTCTATCCATTAAGTAAGTTTCAAACCACTTACAAGTAGTACTGTTTGAAAAACCATAGTGTCACAATTTTGCCAGTAAAAGATCCTAATTAACGTAATCAAAAGCTCAAGTATAGTCTAAAAGCACCAGGATACTACTAAGTCCCGCGTCTGATGCCTTAGTTATGTCATCTGTGACGTTGATTAGAACTGTCTCTGTACCACATCCTCGCCTAAAAACAGGTTGGAATTTCGGTATAATATTGTTTTTCTCTATATAATCCACAACTTGATTCAAGACCACTCTTTCCAATACCTTTGATAATAATGGCAATATAGAGATTGGACGTAAGTCTTTGCTGAACTCTTTTTTGGTATTGGTCTGATGAGAGACTTTTTCCATACCAAAGGGTACGCATACCTTGCGTCTCCTTTATTGACATATTTATCATGTGCGTAATAGTTGATACAAATTACGTTGATAACAAAATGGTAAAAATCCTTTTAATTTTATTTTTTTAAGCATGTAAATGCTTATGTAGTATTGCTGGTTTTCTTTGAATCATTCGGCAAACTCATTATTTAACAATATACTCAGATACGTTTTTATAACAAATCATGAAAGAATATCACTAACTTCTTCAAATCAAATCTTTCGTTATAGTAAAATCCGTTATGCGTTGATATTTACCCCAAAATAATTTCAACGCCTTCATTAAAATGAACCGCAAATGAATTATTTTAGGTTGCTAACAGTATTTCTACAAAAGACCTGCAGTACAAATGAGCATCATATTCATATTAAAATTACCGGTCCTACTTATACATAGCTATCGTAAACCAGTAAGGCACCCGAAGCACTGCGATCGCATTACAGACATGTTGACATGCGTAGGCGCAACGCTCTTTATAACCGCACCAATTCAATAATGCGACTAACTTTACTCTTAATCTGTTAGCTTTAAGACTCATTTTTGATTGAACTATAAGGATGAAGGATTGGCTTTCGAACAGGGAAGCATTCAATTAAAATTGAGCTAGAAGTATGAATATGTAAAGTTTATTATAGCCTATCATTTAGAAGCGAGACAGCCGCTGTGAAGCATTCGGATATAGCGTTAAAGATATTGAAATTAAGGTCGTTATTTGATTGGATATCGTGCTTTCTACTTCTATTCAGCATTCGTCATACGTCGCCGATAGGCGCTCAACTCAAGATGGCTGTGCCATAAAAGCCCTTTGTTTTATTCGAGTTGCCTATTAAAGACAATATAGCAAATACGATACGAGTCGATTAATGTCATGTAGGATTTTTAAATCTAAAGAAAATATAACTAGAGAAACTTCCACGAGGACCAGGCTGCAGACGGGCTGGTCCGCGTGGAAGTTTCTCTAGTTATATTTTCTTTAGATTTAAAAATCCTTTTACCTGAACTGATTCTATTTGAGCGAGATTTATATTTGGGTCACCTAACAGACATACCTGATCACAGCGTTACATGACATTAATCGACTCACTAAGTGAGTCCATAGCATCTTACACAGAAATACTCTCTGGTCTATAGGCTGTTCCCAATGCCATGCTGACTCCGGACAGCTTCACCTCAAGCCATAGCTGTTCCAGAGTGGAGGAGGGATACTGTAAAGTTTTGGCGTCCATTCCCCATCGAACATAGAATCCAACGTCACCATCTTTTCTACTGTTGCGAGCATTGTGAACAAATTTGTAATCCGATATAGCAGGTGCCGGTGCTTCTTGCCCAGCTCTAATCCAGGTTTCATTAATTGCGACTATAACAAGATTTTACTTTAACACAGCCACAGTAAATTCATCCTGTGCCGTATTCAGCAATCGAGCCTTTAGCAGTCCCAATCTCAAACGCGTTTCCCTTGCATTAGCCATTGGGTATTACATAAAAAAATAAGTAAAGCATCAAACGCAAAAAATAACATTTTCAATGAGACAGAGGTAACTGTGATTTTCCTATTAGATTCGATGTGTTAAGAACTGTATTAGTTGTATTAGTGTTCATGTGAGTGTGTAAGTTTGTGATCATGATTGATTTATTGTGTAATCGTGTCCACCTTAAAAGCTAAGACAGTTTAAAATATTATAAAAAACACTACCAATAATTAATATGTTAATAAATAAGCCGACAAGATCAAATTGCATGTTTTTCAAAAATACGTAATAAGTCTTTATCCGATCGCACGTGATGACGCATATCATCGGACGTCTGACGGACGAAGATATTTCCATTACGGGTCCACACGTATCTAAAATCGTGCTTACGCGAAAGCTCCCGTATAACAATAGACAACTGCTTTGTTAAACAGTTGTCTATTGTGTTTTGTGAGTCACTCATTAACATGAAGTTCCTCGCTGGTTCAGACAATGGCAGACCCTCGGTAGTGACACTGCGTCTCACACGTACGGCAGTCAGGACCGCAATGGGATGAGAATGGATTTATCTATCCTGTGCAGCCGTCTATGACAGGCTCACTCTCTCGGCGCTCACCATAACCTTTTCATGGAGATCTACACCGATCTACTTTGCAAGATTAATAACGATGTGAATGCTATTCTCACTAGGCTCTTCAGGGCAGCCCGTTATTTCTAGATCGTTTAATAGCATTGCTTGGTCTCGATCATGTATTTCAGCTTGAAGATCAGATATTGTTTTCTGTAGGTCATTTGCATCTGGATGTGTGCATGTTTTACCTTCTAATTCTTGAACTCTCATTTCCAGTTGCTCGATCTTACTGTTTTGGTTTTTAATGGTATCCGTCAGTTCTGCAATCGCCATACGTACTTCCTCCATTTTATTGTTTAGTAGTTGGCACATAAATGATTTTAATTCAGCAAGTTATTTATAATAGCAGACCTGCCCATGACAATGACCAGTAAACAGAATACAGCTGTTAAAACAATAACTCAACAGCAGAATTGAATGAATTATTAATTTTATGTTCACAATAGCTATGATCCGAATATTTTTTTCATTAGCTTTTTCTCTATAACAATAACATTGCTGTACGCCTGTACATAACAATATGGAAATGTTTTTTTTTTCAGTATTGGCGCACAAGGAATGCACGGAGAACGGTACGTGGTGGCGCCATCCTCAGACCGGCAACCCGTGGTCCAACTATACCACCTGCTACAAGCCTGAGGATGTTAGTACAACCAATCATGATACTTTTAGCCTCACCACTTTTACGCAAATTTTACAACTAGGACAAGTAGTTCACCCGATGCCTCCAACATTCACACGTGTTTCAAGTTTCTTCACTCATCTGTACGTAATTATTTACCCAGTACAGTAGAATCCGTTTATTATGACTTAGAAGGGAATCGACAAACACGTCATACTAAGCGGACGTCATACAAAGCATTTTTGTGAAAAAAGATTGTGAGAAGAGTTTGGTTCTCCATTTTCTAGTCTGCATATTATTGCACCTATTTCCACAATCGTAAATGCTTTACGGCGTTGAGATGACATTTTTTTACATAGGATATCACTAAAAACAATGCGTGACGTTCAACTGTAATTACTCACTGAGATTCAAAACAAAAACGAGCTACGTGCCGAACGTTGTCGGGAATCAACGAACATTACCGAAGGTGTAAAGAACCATGTCGGTCACTATAAACGGACAAAATTGATTAAAATGGTTCATAATAAGCGACAGGTCACTGTAAGCGAAGTCATTATATCCGACTTTGTTACAATGAATTTCATATGAAAACCAAACTTCGTTGTGTAATTACGTCCTAATAGCTTGCTAGCATAAATTGCTTTTGGATAAAATTGCGTTCAATGGTATACGTGGTAATTTATTGCGGTGGTTTTCATCATATATTTATAACAGAACTCATAGGGTGGTGGTTAACGGCTTTGAGTCTGAAATTGTGTGTGCAACCTCTGGAGTTCCGCAGGGATCGATCTAGGGACCTCTTTTGTTTATCCTATTTATTAATGACATAAAAAACTGTTTTACGAACTCCAGGTTCCTCATGTACGCAGATGATATGAAAATTTACAAAACCTGTAGGACCGTAGACGATTGTCATATGCTACAAGAAGACTTAGACAGACATATAACATTAACGGTGTTAACATAAATAAAGTAAGTAATATTCGCGATCTAGGGGTGGTGATTGACAGTAAACTGCATTTTGACGAACATATCAACAATATCATAAACAAAGCCTATCGTATGTATGGTTTTGTCATGAGGTCATCCACGGATTTCATGCGTTCTTCTACTTTTCTTACTCTTTACTTGACCTTGGTTCGCTCTCAGCTTGAATTCGCAGTTCCAATTTGGTGTCCGCTTTACGATACATATGTGGACAGACTTGAAAAGGTTCAAAAGAAGTTTTTACGTAGGATACATTACAAGTTACATCATTGTAGAATTTCTTATGCGGAATTGTTGACTCATTACGGACTTATGAGCTTGGAGTCCAGACGTTACCTACTCATGGCCATGATGTTGCATGGCATTTGTAATAACGGGTTCGATTGTAATAACCTCACATATTATTTATGTTATGTTGTATCTATATCGGTATTCCGCAGAGGGGTGCGCGCGCCTCGGCTGTTACCTGTAGAACGAATGCGGGAGTGCGTGCACCCCTTCGGCGATTACTAGATAATTATAACACAAACTTTGCAGAATTAGACATATTTGGGTTCTCAAAATTAAAGTTTAAAAAAATGGCAGTAGAAACATTATCAAATAGAACGGGTTGATGGAATTGGATATCATACTTGTATCTGTACCGGTTCATCGCGGTTTTTTAGTTTATTATTCCGTAGTGAGAAGATAATAAACTTCTCCTTTCATCATTAATTTGTGGACATTGGTGTGGGTTGTACACTTACCTAATTGATATCTACATTATAATTTTATGTAATATTTAGTGTATAACTGTTCTATGTTCCTAAAATAAAAAAAATAAATAAAAAAAATAGGCGGTTGGTCAATATAGGCGGAGTCATAATAAACGGATTCTACTGTATTTATGACACCCAATGGCGAGGAGCAATAAAAAAACTATATAATTTTTCGTTTGTTAGCTAAGTTACTTCTACTCTAACATTAGGTGGATGGTTGAGACACAATATAATAAGTACAACGTATAACACAGATGTTTGTTTCCTAGGTTTTCCCGCACACCACTCATTCAATAAAACAAGTTTCAACGGTATAGATGCACTGATTTATTTATTTATTGACGTTTCGCATTCTTTTCAGGATGCGTCGTCTGAATTATCAATTCAGACTTTATTTCAGACGCGTTCTGAAACGCTGAATTATCAATTCAGTTTTATTATATATTATTTATCATACCGTTGATTATTTTTTATTTACCATGTTATTAGTAACATATATCTTCTTTTAGCAAAAGGACGCTATGGACATTTTTGAAATAAAGTTATTGTTATATTAGTTGCGATAACCGAACCATCCATCATTGTGTGTGCTCGCAGGATGTCAGTGACATCATCGCGGTGTACGAGGCAGGTTACAGCGTGTCGCTGGTGGCGCTTCTGGTGTCCCTCGGAATACTGTTTTATTTCAAGTAAGTAATAATTTGCTTTAAAAATAATATGTAACTTAATCAACATGCTTTTGTTTAAATAAAATGTGTAAAAATGCAGATCATGCTAGCCTAGACAACTTTAACTGATTGCTACCATGTACCTTGTTTTTAGACAGTCTCGGATATTTCGACACTGGTGCAAGCAATTGTGGGTAGGATGTTATTACAGACTGTTATGTAGATATAAGCATCTATAACGCGGTTGCATCCGCGTTACCTGTGTTCCATACAATAAAGACAGTGCGTTACCGACCTTCGCTCGTATCACTTGTCCCTCCGTTCCACATATACATTATTGGCGACGAATCTGAAGTACCCGCGTTTGAAAAAAAAAATGGCGTGCTCGAATTATGGAATTCTAAACAATTTCGACCACAGCGTACAAACTTGGAACACATGGAAGTGTAGGCTTTTGCAGTGGTTCATCGCAAACGACCTTGACACGGTAAAAGACCCGGCGGGAAGTAAAAGACGAGCGATTTTGCTGAGCGCACTCAGCGATGCCACATACAAGCTAGCGTCAGATTTAGCTTTACCAAAGGAGCTACAGGTGATACCATTGAAGGATATTCTGTCACTACTAGACAATCATTTTACGCCACGATCGGCAGGATTTAGTGAACGGCACAAATTTTATTCCGCTACTCAGTTACCAACTTAATCGGCTGCGCAATGGGCAGCTAGGCTACGCGGTCTCACAGCTGCTTGCCGGTTCAGCAACGTGGAAGAGGCTTTACGGGATAAATTCATTATGGGGATGTTACCTGGCATCGAAAAATAAAAGATGTACATGCAGGAGCTGACCGGTCTAACGTTGTCGAAAGCTGTCGAAATGGTGGATAGCCTGCAAAGTGCGCGGGCAGCGGCGGCAGCCAGTGCAAGCACGCACATTGGGTTGACATCCTCCACTGAAGACCAACTTTTCAAAATCGGTAAAAATGTGAAAGTGAAGTGTCATGTGTGTGGTTACGCAAACCATAAAGCCACTGAGTGTCGTTTTGCTAATTACGTGTGTAAAAAATGCAATGTGAAAGGTCACTTGCGGAGAATGTGTAAAAACGTAAAATATTTGCGGTCGGTGCAGGTAGATGATGGTGATGGTGATGCTGATGATGGTGAGTTGTTTAATATTCGCTCTTTTCAAGGCGAGCCACTGACAGAAACGGTTCGTATTAACGGAATAAATTTGAAATTCGAAATCGATAGTGGCTCAGCGGTGACGGTTGTGTCCGAAAAGATTTTTAAATATTATTTTTGTAACGTTCCATTATTAGACACTAAGAAAAATCTAGTGAGCTATACTGGTGAGGTTTTAGGCTGTGCAGGCTATGCGCAGATGAATGTCGAGTGGCGGGGCCGTTCGGAAAAATTAAATGTGCATGTAGTTCGCGGTGGCGGTCCTCCGTTATTGGGTAGGGATTTTATGGTACAGTTTAATTTAGAGTTGACTCCAGTTTATCAGTGTAAAACAAACGTTATAGATACTGCACTATTAAAGGCAAAATATCCAAGTGTGTTTTCAGAATCATTAGGAAGGTTTAATAAATATAAAGTTAAGTTGACTTTAAAAGATAACGCAAAGCCTGTTTTCTTTAAACCGCGTCCCATAGCATTTGCACTGAAAGAAAAGGTTGGGAAAGAAATTAGTCGATTAGTCGAACTGGGTGTTCTTCGACCTGTCGAGCACTCAGAGTATGCATCACCGATAGTTCCCATTTTAAAGCGAGATGGTTCGGTGCGTGTTTGTGCAGATTATTCTGTCACCATAAATAAACAGCTGGTTGTGGAACAATATCCATTACCAACTATAAACGAACTCTTTTCCAAGTTATACGGAGGACAAAAATTCACTAAAATTGATTTATCAATGGCATATAATCAATTTTTACTAGATGATGAGTCACAGAAGCTAACCTGTATCAATACGCACCGTGGTTTGTTCGCGTATACGCGCCTGGCGTTCGGGTTATCGAGCGCACCATCTATTTTCCAACGCGCAATGGACAATTTACTTGCGGGGCTGGACGGCGTGGTGTGTCTGCTCGACGATGTCCTTCTAACGGGCAGCTGTGACTCTGAGCACCTGGAGCGATTACACCAGGTCTTAAGGCGACTACAGGACGCAGGCCTAACGGTGCAACAGTCTAAATGTATTATAAACAAAGACGGGTTAAAAAAATCGCCCGAAAAGGTTAAAGCTATTTTGAAAGGTCCGGCACCTGCAAACGTCAGTCAGTTACAGTCATTTTTGGGTCTTATAAATTACTACAGAAGTTTTGTAGCCGATGCTTCATCGATTTTAAGCCCTTTGTATAATTTATTAAAAAAAGGTGTAAAATGGTGTTGGTCTACTAAAGAAAATGATGTATTTTGCAAAATAAAAAAAGCTTTTAGCATCCGAACAAGTGTTAGCTCATTACAATGCTAATGCTAGCCTCATACTAACCGTAGATGCTTCCCCAACAGGTTTAGGCGCTATTTTATCACAAATCGATAGCAATGGGCGTGAAAGACCGATATCGTTCGCGTCGCGCACATTAAGTAACGCAGAAAAAAAATATTCACAAATACAAAAAGAAGCTACAGCGATTATTTTTGGTGTTAGACATTTTCACCAATATCTGTATGGGAGATCGATTCCGTTTACTTTGAGAACCGATCATAGACCGTTGCTATCGATTTTCGGGCCTAATCGAGGGATACCCGAAGTAACAGCAAATAGATTACAGAGATACGCATTGTTTTTAAGCGGCTATAATTATATTATTGAATATGTTAAAAGTGCTAATAACAGCGCGGATTATTTGTCTCGTGCGAGCCAGCCGAGCGGCGCCGGCGCCGGCGAGAGGGGCGCGGGACGGGAGTCGAGCGTGGCGGGCCCGGGGATGCGCCGCCAGAGCCGATCGACCGCGCGGCCTATGTGTTTTTTGTTGTGGCGGGCGCATTACCTATCACGTTCGAGGAATTGAGGGACGCGACTGATAGCGATAGCACGTTGTGTAATGTTGCACAATATATAAGGAACGGTTGGCCTAAAAAAGTTACCGACGCTAGTCTTAGACCTTATTTTTTTTGTAGGTTGCAATTGTCCATAGAAGGTGGATGTATTATGAGAGGGCACAAGATAGTAATTCCGCAGTCTTTGCAACATCGAGTTTTATCAGAGTTGCATTCATCACACCTGGGAATTGTTAAAACCAAAGCGGAAGCTCGATCGCGCTTCTGGTTTCCAGGTATTGATAACGCATTAGAACATATGATTGCAAATTGCGAAGTCTGTATACAGTTGCGCCCCTCCCCGCCGCGCGCGCCTGTGTGCCACTGGCCGTACCCCCCTATGCCTTTTCATCGTGTACATTTGGACTTTCTGGGTCCTATTAATGGTCGCATGTATTTAGTTATTATCGATGCGTATACAAAATGGGTTGAAGTGTGTGAAATGAGTTCGACCACTAGTGTAGCAGTGATTGAAAGAATTAGTGAGTACATGTCTAGATACGGATTGCCACATACTTTAGTGACTGATAATGGAACCTATTTTACCTCGCGAGAATTTTTAAATTTTTGTAAATTAAATGGTATCTCCCATATGACGTCACCGGCATACCACCCAGCGAGCAACGGACAAGCTGAATCCTATGTAAAAGTCATAAAAAAGGGTATCCGGTCCAGTCTCATGGAAAGCACCACTATTAAGGAGAGTAGGTTAAAATTATATAAGTACATTTTCGACTACCGGAACTCGGTTCACGGTACGACAGGCGTGTCACCAGCTGAGCTAGTATTCGGACGTAAACTTAGATCGCGACTCGATATTATGAATCCGTTTCCATCTCCGTCGTCTACCTCACTCGCTAAACATGTCGAATCTAAACAGTGTTTACAGGCTAAAGCTAAAACTGGTAATTCTAAAGACTTGTTACCTGGTCGATATATAATGTACAAAAAGTTTAATAATAATAATAAGTTTGTTTGGTGCAAAGGTATAATTGTAAAAAGAATTGGTAAAAATGTTTACATCATTAGAGATTGTAAAACATCAATGACTGTCAAAAAGCATTATGATCAAATTATTTATTTACAAAACCATAGTGATAACAATGAGCAACCTGGGGATGATATTTTTTGTAACTCAAATGAGCAGACTCAGTCTCAGGCTGGATCACCGACGGTCATTCATGACGCGATCGGTGCCGACGAACTACACCGGGAGGGAGAGGAAGTCGGAGATTCTCAAGTAATAAGGTCACGCACGGACACGACACCTGCTCATGATGGCGACCAGTCGGTACGGGTCTCTCCATCAGCTTCACCGTCCAGAGTGACGACAACTCGAGGCGTGCGACGTCCGGTGCAGAGCGATGACGATGATGAAGCCTGTGAGCCCAGCCCACCATCGTCGACTCCCTCCAAAGTGACGATGACACGAGGAGTTCGGCACCGTTTACGCTCCGATAGTGATGACAACTTTTATGAGGCTGAATAGATCACCCCAGGGTTGCCCTTTTTTCAGATGTAAACAGTAAATATTAAGGGAGGAATGTTGTGTAGATAGAAGCATCTATAACGCGGTTGCATCCGCGTTACCTGTGTTCCATACAATAAAGACAGTGCGTTACCGACCTTCGCTCGTATCACTTGTCCCTCCGTTCCACATATACATTACAGACCATCGATAAATAACTGAAAAGGTACATGGTAAAAATCCCGGAAATAACACACATTACTATAACGTTAGTGACCATGAAAGTATAAAACAATATAATGTTTTAACTGACTTTACAAATGGAGGATTTCCTTTTGCAAAATTGTATGTTAGACAAGTGGACCCGACAGCCGTTTTATACCCTACCCGATATAAATAAAATAAAGAAAAACCGAATACTCTACAGCAGAGTATAGGAAAACTTTAAAAAAAAAGTAAATTTAAAAAATCAAAAAACCTGACTGCTTTATAATACTGCGAATAAAAACTGAAAATAGACAAACAAGTCCAGTAGTCTATAATTCTGTTAAGTAAGGGACAAAGCTGCTTTAACAGTCGGGACCCATTAGATATTCAAGAATGGATCAAAATTTTCAGTAATGGGTCCCGACTGTTAAAGTAGCTCTGTTCGTTCTCAAGTTATAGATTGACCAAGGAAAATAGGGAGGCAATGCAGAACGTGGTTGTGGTTCCAGGAGCTTGCGTTGCGCGCGCATAACGGTGCACATGAACCTGTTCGCGTCGTTCGCGGTGAACAACGCTCTGTGGCTCGCGTGGTACGCGCTCGTGGTGCGCTCGCCCGCCACGCTCGCCGCCTCGCCCGCCTGGTGCCGCGCGCTCAACGCCACGCTACAATACGCGCTCCTCACCAACTACACCTGGATGTTGTGTGAGGTGAGATGGTACTAGCGCAGACTGGCGACGAACGCGCTTGTCTGCGACCCTGCAGCACGCGACAGACTGCACGAGTCAAGCAGAATCCTCACGTGCTCTTATTAGTGCAAACGTAGACTCCCGTACCGCCCTAAACTCAATAAATAGGTATTTTGTAAATATAGCTGTAAATTTAGCAAATAAAATTACCGATTCGACAGAGGTTTGTCCACCGACGACGATTGCCCAATCAAATTCTCTGGCAATCCTAGAAGCTGACTCTGATGTGGTAAAACGTATAATTGGTGGCTTGCGTGACGACTGTGCTCCCGGATGGGACGGAATCTCTGCCTCTGTGATCAAAGCTTCCAAAGATGTCCTGATCCCTCCGATTACACATATGTGTAATCTTTCCATCTCCTCTGGTACTTTTCCTAGGGTATTGAAACGAGCTGTTGTCAGTCCCATTTACAAGCAAGGGAATAAAAGTGATATTGCCAATTACAGACCGATATCAGTGCTACCGGTACTCTCGAAGATCTTGGAGAGAATAATCAACAATGCACTTGTTGGTTTCTTAGATAAATATAATATAATTGCAAAGAACCAATTTGGCTTCAGATCAGGTGTTTCCCCAGAGGACGCAATCGCGAGTTTTACTAGTGCAGTAGTTGGTAAGGTAGATAGTAAACAGAAATGTTTCGGAATCTTTCTAGACCTCTCCAGGGCCTTCGACACAGTTTCGATACCTGTACTAATCAAGAAGCTGGAATACAGTGGCATTCGAGGTCGGGAGCTGGAACTTCTCAAAAGCTACCTTCAGGATCGTACACAAAGCGTTAAAGTTGACTCTCTTACCAGTGATACGGAGAACATTGGCTACGGCGTCCCTCAGGGCAGCATATTAGGACCAACACTTTTCCAGGTATATGTGAATGACCTGTGCAAATTAATTATACCAAATTGTGAAATATTTGTGTATGCTGATGATACAGCATTGTTAGTGGATGGCAATGATTGGAGGACTGCTAATCATAACGCCCAGGAGGCACTCAAAATTGTAAAAAATTGGCTTTCACAAAACTTACTTACCCTGAATCTACAAAAAACAAAGATCCTACCTTTCTCCATAACTTCTGCTTCTTCAGTACCACCCAATCACGCCAAAGTAACAATGCATACCTGTATATCACCCTCAAGTGCATGTAATTGTTTTTCGATTGTTCCTGCTTCTAGTGTAAAATACCTGGGCATTCATATTGACACTAATCTAAAATGGCACACTCAAACTGAGACTCTAAAACTAAGGGTACGAAAGCTGATATATATATTCAAAATTATTAGAAATTTGGCTGATTCTGAAATCGTTAAATCGGTGTACCTTGCTTTGTGTCAGTCGGTCTTGGCGTATTGTATCCCAATATGGGGGGGAGCTGGGGGAACTGTGATGCTGAATCTGGAAAGGGCACAGAGAGCCATTCTTAAGATAATGACACACAAGCCAATTCGATACCCCACATACTTGCTGTACTCTGAATGCCAGGTTTTAACGGTACGGCAACTGTACATTCTCAGATGCATACTACGTAAACATGCTTGTGTTCCGTTGGATATTAACGTTCTTTCACGACGACGCGCCGCAGTCCATGTATGTCCTCCCGCTAGGTATAAAACAATTTTCGCTTCACGTCAATATGATGCTCTTTCTTCAGCCTTGTACAATAAGATGCATAAGTTTATCTCAATTTATACCCAAAATATGTTTGAAGTGAAGAAGAACACCTCTGCTTATCTTTTGAAGCAAAACTATTCAGACACAGAAAATCTATTAAAATTAAAATAAGAAACAGTTATGGATAATATAAGACAAACACACACACACAAACACACACACAAACACACACACAAACACACACTCAAACACACACTCACACACATACACAAACACTCCACCAATATAATTTCACTCACACTTGTACGCTCACACGTAATCAATATTTGATAAATTGTTTTGTTTCGTTAGTTGATTACTCACCTCAACAGCTGTAGTCAAACCTATTGGGCTGCTCTAAAATTAAAATATTTTTGTAATATGTCGACCGAGGAATCACTAACCCTGATAATTACAGTTTTTACTAGTTTCTGGGTTAGGGGTCCATTTTTATATAAATACCCGTAGACATTATTAGCCTAATACTTTAAATGTAAAATGTTGAGGGTTATGAATAAATGATTATTATTATTATATATTATTTATTATGTTGTGTGAGGTGAGGTGGTACTAGCGCAGACAGGCGATGAACGCGCTCGTGCTGCGCTCGTCTGCCAGCCTATAGCACGCGCTCCTCACCAACTACACCTGGATGTTATGTGAGGTGAGATGGTACTAGCGCAGACTGGCGATGAACGCGCTCGTCTGCCACCCTGCAGCACGCGCTACTCACCAACTACACCTGGATGATGTGTGAGGTGAGATGATACTAGCGCAGTCTGGCGATGAATGCGCTCGTGCTGCGATCGTCTGCCACCCTGCAAGACTGCGCTGCTCACCAACTACACCTGGATGATGTGTGAGGTGAGATAGTACTAGCGCAGACTGGCGATGAACGCGCTCGTGCTGCGCTCACCTGCCTGGTGCCGCGCTTAATACCATGCTATAATACGCGCTGCTCACCAACTACACCTGGATACTGTACGAGGTGAGACGCAACTAGAACTACTTTGCTGGGGTTAGGGTTACTATCCGTCCGGACTTTCTGCCTTTTGTCCGGACTTTGTCCGGCTTTATAATTTGTCCGGTTTCTTTAAAATAGATCGAATATGAGTAAAACTACTTATTAATTAAACCAAATATTACAAATAATCTTTATTAGGTTCTCATTAATTTGAAAAAAATATATAAATCATCTTTAAAAATCAACAACGAGACCCCCCTCGTGATGCGAGCGTCTGCTACCACACGTATAATATCACCGTAACTAATAGTGGGTGATGTTTGCAGTTTGTGACTAAAATGTCCGGAATTATATCGAAATGCTTGGCATTTTGTCAGGACTTTTAATTTTTTTAAATAGTAACCTTAGCTGGGGTTCATAAAATAAATAATTCATTTAGAGGCATTCGACCTACCTTTTTTTAGTCTCATGCGATATTCAAGAATTATGAAGCTCGTATAAAAGAAAGAACATAGTACCGCAAGCCTTATTATGACAAGCATATATTTTTTGTGGAACCTTGTTATGACTGTTCTAATATTATAATCATCCAGTCAAATGAAAATTATCGCGCTCTTTATTCTCCATGCTCAGAAGTCTCCATTCTTAGTTGAGTAGAAAGGAATTCTACAAAATAAAAATAATCGCATAATTATGCAATACTAGCGGCCCGCTCTCGCTTCGCTTCGGTGTAGAGCTGAAGTGTAGACTTCAGTTTTTGTTCTCAGGCTTGCATTATACACAATGACATTCATCTATGATTGTTTCTATACCTGTATGCAAAGTCTCAGCCCGATCGGTTTAAAAGTGACAAAGTTTCATACAAACTTTCATTCCCTATTTTATCCCCTTGGGAGTAGAATCGATCCAAATCCTTTCTTAGCGGATGCTTACGTCATAACATCGACCCGTAAGTCAAATTTCAGCCCGATCCGTCCGGTGGTTCGGGCTGTGCGTTCACTGCCGGATTTCGGGGAGGGCGACCGGGGCGAAAGCCCTGGGATTTCCACAAACGGGGGGCCCTCACAACGGAGACTTCCCTTCCCCCACAACGGAGGTTTCGAAAGGGGGCCTTCGCTCCTCCGTCGCCTCGAGGCCTCCGGACCTCCAAATCTGGCCCTGCGTTCGTCGATAGATCACCATGTCGGCGAGTCACCTTCGAGTTGTATCCGTCAGGGCGTGTACCTCCACACGGTGCTGGTGAGCGCGTTCGTGTCGGAGCGTCGCCTGGTGCGCGCGCTGCTGGCGGCGGGGTGGGTGCTGCCGGCGCCCTTTGCCGCCGTGCACGCGGCGCGCCGGTCGCTGGCCGACGAGCCGCTGTGCTGGGCCGACGACGGCGCGCCCCGCCCCGAGCTCGCGGTGCTCGTCTGCATCGCCGTCCTCCTCAACCTCGGCTTCCTGTGCAACATAGTGCGCGTGCTGTGCACGAAGCTGCGCGCCGGCGGAGGAGTGGGCGGCGGCGCCGGGTCGGCGCGCCCGTCGGCGACGGCGCTGCACGCGTTGCGCGCCACGTGCCTGCTGGCGCCGCTCCTCGGCCTGCAGTATCTCCTCACGCCGTTCCGGCCGCCGCGCACGGCGCGCTACTGGCTGCTGTACGAGTACGTGTCGGCGCTGACGACGTCGCTGCAGGGGCTGTGCGTGGCGGTGCTGTACTGCTTCTGCAACGGGGAGGTGCTCGCGCAGCTGAGGCGAAAGTGGCGCGTGCTCACCTTCCGCCCGAGGGCCAACTCGACCACCAACACGACGGTCTCGGTGAGTGTGAGAATGATTCGGAAAAATTGGAAGCGAAGCGGAATAAAATACCACTCGACCTCTACGATTGCCGAAAATACTAAACTTTTATTAAGACCGATTCCGTCAGTCCCGCCCGGCTGTATCTTTACCGTTGTCGGTGCTCGCCGATCTAAATTTTTTTTGCTCGATATAGGTATCCATGAAAAAGGTGAATTCCGGCATCCATATGAATTAAATTTTCCTATTGAATGTTATCATAATTGTGACTTTTTATGTAATAATAAGGACCATAGAAAAAATATTAATACAATGCATGATTGACATATTGAATGACGCGTCTATATTGACAAGTGGCAGGTGTGCTAGGACGACCGAAGATCGCTGTAGCAAACGACTGTACGTTGTCGGTTGGAATGAGCGCGTAAAACACCTGCACGGTCAGGCGCGGCTGCATTATAAGGTTGGGTTCTTTATGGAAAACCGAATTGTGGAAAGAAATTAAAGGCTAAGTTAAAATAGTGCATAAAACACCAGGAACAAATAAAAATGGATATTTTGGCAACTTCACATAAATCCAAACGCTTTAAAGAATTTTGGAAGGAAACCAATAAGTTAAAATGTAAGCCGCGTCTGCCTATCAATGTTGACGGGGTGAGTGAGCTAAAGCTATTGCTGACATGTTTAGGGGGCACTTGATAGTACAGGCACAACCTTTAGTACCGGGGCCAATAGTGAGTACCTTGACTACTGCAAAGAAACATGAAGAAACAACGCAAACAAGAAGTTGCGAAAGTCATTGAACACATGACCAGGGGTAAATCTCCTGGTATCATGATGACTTAAGTATTGAACACTATAAATATGCTAGGGCTCACTTACCGAGGGTGTTAGCGCTAATTTTCAATCTGTGCATACGACACTCGTACCTGCCACCACCTTTGATGAAAACTAAAGTTGTACCTATTATCAAAAACAATACGGGAGACTCATTGGTTTCCAAAAAGGGTTATCGACAGAGAGTGCCATCTTGGCGCTTAAGAGCACCGTTATAAACTACACGGACAGAAGCACGCCAGTGTATGCGTGCTTCTTAGATCTGTCAAAAGCTTTTTATATGGTGTCATATCCAGTGTTATGGAATAAACTGGATGGGGTGAATCTCCCGTCTGAGCTCAGAGGCATCTTCAGGCACTGGTATGAGCATCAGGTAAATTGTGTGAGATGGGGGGACGAGCTATCGGAGGAATACGGGTTGGAGTGCGGGGTGAGACAGGGGGGGTTGACCTCTCCTAGGCTTTTCAACCTTTACGTAGACCAGCTGGTCCGTGAGTTCAGCGGCATGCATGCGGGATGTTCAATCGATGGCGTTAATGTCAACAACATCAGTTACACGGACGATATGGTACTGCTGAGCCCGTCGATCAGAGCGCTCCGGAGTTTGTTGCACGTGTGTGAGACCTATGCGAAAGTGCACGGGCTAAAATATAACACTACAAAAAGTGAGATAATAGTTTTCACCGCGGTAAAACAATTCTCCACAAAATGTGCCTCCTGTCAGGCTATGCGGGCGGAGTTGTTGAGGGTTCAGCAGTACAAATACCTGGGCCATATAAGGGCCTTAACAGAAGACCTGAAGGATGACCAAGATATTGAGCGAGAGCGTAGGGCGTTGGCGGTCAGAAGCAACATGATCGCCCGTAGGTTTACACTGGCAGCCTAAGGGTGAGTTATAAGCAGAAGACTTACAACGCACTACGTGTACAGTATAATAATGCTTTCAGAATGTTGTTGGGGCTGCCGTGGCGCTGCAGCGCGTCAGGTATGTTTGCCGAAGCGCGAACAAATGACTTCTACGCAATAATGCGCAAAAAAGTTACCTCTCTTATGAAGTGTTTACGACAGCCACAATAGCATCTTAAAGGTTGTAGGGGGTAGGTACGAGTGTCCTACTATAATTGTAAAATTTAATGAAATGCAATAACTTATTAATATAATTATTTTTAATTTTTAATGTTAATTTTGTAATTATTTTTGTTGGCATTGTAATTTTGTATTTATTTTATTTTTGATTGTAATTTGTATGCTTTTATTATTATTATTCTTGTTTTTTATGTAATTTATATGGCTAAATGGCTGAAATAAATGAATTGAATTGAATTGAATGTATAAATATGTTGTCAGTTTGTGCGGTCGGGCGGCGGCGGTGCGGGCGAAGACAAGGTGTGACTAGCGGCGGGCGGTGCGGCGACGGGTGACGGCGGCGGTGGAGGCGGAGGTGGCGCGCTCGAGGCGGACCAGCACCCGCGCGCGCGCCCGCACGCAGAGCGCCGCCACGCGCCCGACGCGCGACACATACGCTTCGAGTGCGTCGACAGCGACGACGACGCGCCGCCCGACACCCGCCTCCTGTGAGCGCGGCCCCATGGGAACACGCGAACCTTGTGTTAACGGACGCAACCTATGTGGAGTGCTTGTGTTCACAGAATAGACCGATTCGGAGCTCCCTGTGCTGACGAACCCCACCTATGTGAAGGGCCTTATGTTTTCAGAAGCACCTTCTTGAAGGACGAGGCGCGCCTTGTGTGACTAAATGCGCCTTGTATTACTTAACACGCCTTATGTGGTGAGACGTGATTTTTGTGACTGAATGCGCCTTGTGTGACCGAATACGCCTTGTGAGACGAGACGCGCCCTATGTATCTAACTAAACACGCCTTGTGCTACTAAATGCGCTTTGTGTCTTGTGTAACCGGACATTACTTGTGTGAACAAATAAAACTCTTTCGTTTACTGATAGGCCTTAAGGGAACAGTCGCCTTATACAATAAGTGGAAGAATTGTGTGAATTATAATCCAAACAGGAACTCATTGTGTCTGAGTAAATGCGCGTCCCTGAGAACACAACTGGTGCTGAACTTTTTTTATTATGCTTTGAAAGAAACGAGTGTTAAATTATATTTATTGTTATTATTACGAGTATGTATTGTATACTGTGCTTAAGTAGAAACGAAATGGTGTCATGGTCGTGGTCGTCATAAATAAAGACCACTGTCTGTCACGCACAACGCGACGCGCTGCAGTGGGTAAACCGCCTGACTGTTGACCCCTCTGTAGGACAGGCATAACCTTGTATTTATGTAAATTATACGGGTGCTTATTTATTAATTACGAAACTTGTTATTTCTTTCTGCCTACCCTACCCTGCTCTTAATGAACAATATCAGTCGAGTCAGGGAGTAATTATGTTAAGAAAATATGTTTATATGTAATGTAACTTATTTTTATAATCTTTATTTAAAGATGTACATCTCTCGGTCCACCTAGCATTTTAAATTCAAACGGTCCCTAGCTAAATGGAAAAGTTACATTGAGCAAAAAGTTATTATCTACGCAGTTTTGAAGCTGATTTATTAACCATCTTTTCGTGTGTGTGTTTGAAATTATTTCTCAACGCTTCAATTGTGGTGCATGACCACAATTCGCTTTAGTCACAATTGGACATTCAAACACGCTGCATGTGCACTTAATATAACAATACTGCGTATATTCTGTGTTATAAAGATAAAACTATGCCTTCGATGCTTTTATAAAGAACACAAATAGTTCAAGATCAAATAACAAATGTAAATCTGTAAAAACATTTTTTCTCAAAAATCACGGTTTGTCGTGAATGTTATTTACGTAATCGCCATTTGTTATCAAGAAAAGGACAACAATACAGCTCAGCCGTGCGGACTCGGCCGCGGACTCCCCGTTTCGCTCGCGCTGCGTTGAAGCGTACAGTTCTGTCTCGCTCGCTCGATCGAATGTTAATTTACAGACGTGTGCGTGTGTGAGAGTTGCTTATGTAGTTGAGTCGGAACATATTTTTTTGATGCTAGTATGAGCGTACCGTATCTTCCCTTTTCGTTCCAATCTAATGCTCAACCATAAACATATAATATATATTTTCTTAAGACCGTTGAAACTTATAATACTAAGTGCGCCGATAGATGTGTTTGGAAGTAAATATTCTTTTAAATAGAAAAGTTACTAGAAATAATGTTAAGTGTATTCCAATATTCACTTTTGTTAAATATGCTAAGGTTGAACATTTCAAGGTTTTCTTGCAGCGAGTTGTGAAAAATGTTAATTTTTACTTCGTAATTAATAAAATATGACCTTATCGTTGTTGTGTAAATAAAATGTAAATGATGATAAATCTGCTGTAAAAATAGCTAAGATTGAAGTTGTAACCACAAATGCAATCAATATTGTCACTGAAATTAATCATAATAAAGCACAACATGTCCCCATACACGACTTCTCAAACTATACTTGTCATCGGGATATTGTTTAAATGTTGGTCGTCAGCCAAACTTAATATCAATATGACCTATTGAAAAAGATGCTCCTACATTGGATTGGACACAGGCCAGTTCTCGACAAATGACAAAATCACTTTCCTTTTCAAAGAAAATTTAATCTGTAATCGTTTATTGTTTGGTGTCTTATATTTATTTAGTTTCCTCGTATCTTCATTCTGAGGTAAAAAGTCCATCGCTTCATAGGTTTTGATTCGTACTCATTTTCAACATGTACGTTATTTATAATATTCAAACTTCCTATTTTTGCTACTAAGATTCTCGAATCCTATTTGATTTTAAATATAAGAACGGCATCTGGAAACTTGCACTTAGCGCTCTGATCTTGGATAAACTGCTATATTGAGATGTAATGTATGTAGGCTGCTGTCAATATAAGTTTTGTATATAGGATTTTAATGATTGTAAATATTGTCTTTACGCGATGTTTTGTAATTTGAAAATATAACAGTGTTATGATTGTTTTTGGTTTTCTTTCCATTTTCTCTCTTATTGATTTATTTTCCATCTCCATTGAACAAATCAAGAAGACCTGTTGTGACTACGATCTCTACTAGTCCGAGAAAACGTATACAAAGATACAGAAAATAATAGAAAATTCTTATAATAAAAGAAACACTACACTAAATTAATAAACATAGCATAGCAGCATATGTGTATGTATGGTTATATGAGTATTTTATATATGTGCATCAATTTTTATTTAAATATTATTATTTTTATTGTTCTAAATTATGTTAGTTTACATTTTATTTAACTTTGCTCTATCGCCATACCATTTGTCTCCAACACTCATATTAGTTGACTGGTAGAGAATGCCTATGGCATGAAGTCCGCCGTTTACTTATGTTTGTCAATATAGTCTAAAAAAATAAATAAGCAGCAATGACGACGAAAAGTTTGGGAAGAAACTGAGTTAATGGAGAATTACTCTTTTATATTCAATACAAAGTGTTTACAAAGTTTCGGAAAGACTACCTCGATCTGAATTTATAGGAGTTAGATGTCGCTTCATTTGTGATTTCATATATTTATATTTTAGCAAGGTGCAGCAAATTACCCCATCCTAACGGAACACTCCTCTGTCTCTCTCTTTCAATAATCCATTCTTTCCCCTAACAGTATCCTTTGCAGCCTCGGGCTGTGAAAGGTAGTTTGTCTTACCAACTATCGTTACCTACTACAACACATTAAATAAAACTACTGAACTACTCAATAACCAAGTTAAAGAACAGAATATAAAAAAGAAACTGATGTTAAGTGCAAGTGGAATCTGGTCAGAGAAACTAGCTGGATCTGAGTATTTTCCACTCCAGCCATCTTCACCTTGCTTCATCATCATCATCATCAACAGCCTATCATAGTCCACTGCTGGACATAGGCCTCTCCAAATGCACGCCACTCAGATCGATCTTGGGCTACTCGTATCCAGCTCCTGCCAGCCACCTTGCGTAAATCGTCACTCCATCGTGGCTGAGGACGTCCTACACTACGTTTGACTAGACGCGGTCTCCACTCCAGAACTTCACCTTGCTTGCCTGAACTCAATGCCCTACTCCGTGAAGCCCTAAAGCCTTATTATATAAATAATGAAAAATCATTGTTACTGAATAACTATACAACAAAAACATATTTCTTGCCTGCTTGAAGATAGTCAATTCACCTACTTTGTGCTTTTTAATCCGCGACAACCTATTTATCTCCCCATTGGCTAGTAAAAAATCAACATGTAGATGCAATATGGAGAATGGGCCATAACATACTGCACGTTCACGTGTGGATTTGTGGATGGTGGGTGATAACGGCTGAAGTTGTAGCTCGGTCTAATGCGCAACAGCTTGGTGTATCCCACGACACACAAAGTACGAGTCATCGGAAAAGTTGCTTAAATTTCATAATCTAAAATTTTTATTGAGAGCAAAATTTATGTTTTTTCCTTTATCAATACTCTTCGTTTCACTAAATTGTTTAAGGAACAATTGAATAAAAATATCTGGAGGATTATACCTGGACTGGATTATATTTGGAGATTAAAAACTGGCTCATTATATTTGAAGAAAATATAACTAGAAAAAATTCCACGCGGATCAGGCAGCAGACGAGACTCGAACCCGCACCGTCCACTCGGTACGCGTGGAATTTTTTCTAGTTATATTTTCTTTACATTTAAACATCAAGCAGTTACATGCTCTAAAAAATATAAATTATAATGATTATATTTGTATCATTTGGAATTATTCAAATAATTTCACCTTCAAATTGATAATCAACCATGAAAGCAAATTATTTTAAGACCAGAAATCTACCGATTAATCAGTAATATTAATTACTCTTAACTTTGACAACCCAATTATCATACGAAAATAGAATTTATAAAATCACGGCTGCTATAAATCTGGCTGAGATATGTATGGAAACGAATTCATTAGTCACAGTAGCGTTCATAATTATGACGTTAAGATGCAATAAAAGAATGTCAGCGATATAGAGAGTGCAGTTGGCGCGCGCGCCGGCGACGCGACGCGACGCATTGTTGACGCGGAATAATTGGCGCTGCATCGATACTCTAAATTAAACTGCACTCGATCGCCGACCGCTTATTTATACGACACCACGCGGCCGCACCATATACGGCTTCGCACCTAACACACAAATAAAAACAACACACTTTAACGTAACGAAATTATAATTAAACCACAGATACTTATATTAGCTGACTTACAAGATAACGCAAGAGCGTGCAGTCTCCAACAAGTCGTATAAAATAAATACATTTTTCATTGTTGAAAGTATAAAATTTTATAAAAGCAAATAAAGAGTGCGCGTGTAACGGGGCGCTCGAAGCGCTTAGAAGCACTTGCGGTGGACGATGCCGGGGCCCGACTCGTCGTACTCCTGCTTCGAGATCCACATCTGTTGGAACGTGGACAGCGACGCCAGAATGGAGCCGCCGATCCATACCGAGTACTTCCTCTCGGGGGGCGCGATGATCTTGATTTTAATGGTGGAGGGGGCCAGCGCAGTAATCTCCTTCTGCATCCTGTCAGCGATACCGGGGTACATGGTGGTACCGCCGGACAACACTGTGTTGGCATACAGATCCTTGCGGATGTCCACGTCGCACTTCATGATCGAGTTGTACACGGTCTCGTGGATGCCGCACGACTCCATGCCCAGGAACGAGGGCTGGAACAGCGCCTCCGGGCAGCGGAACCTCTCGTTGCCGATCGTGATGACCTGTCCGTCGGGCAACTCGTACGACTTCTCCAGAGACGTGGACGCCGCCGCAGTTTGCATTTCCTGCTCGAAGTCCAGTGCGACGTAGCATAATTTCTCCTTGATATCTCGCACGATTTCTCTTTCAGCCGTGGTCGTGAACGAGTAGCCTCTCTCGGTGAGAATCTTCATGAGGTAGTCGGTGAGATCGCGGCCGGCGAGATCCAACCGCAAGATAGCGTGAGGTAGAGCGTAACCTTCGTAAATGGGTACCGTATGCGAGACACCATCTCCGGAGTCGAGCACAATACCGGTAGTACGACCGGACGCGTACAGCGACAGAACGGCCTGGATGGCTACGTACATGGCCGGGCAGTTGAACGTCTCGAACATGATCTGCGTCATCTTCTCTCTGTTTGCTTTAGGATTGAGCGGGGCCTCCGTCAATAGAATGGGGTGCTCCTCCGGCGCGACACGAAGCTCGTTGTAGAAGGTGTGATGCCAGATCTTTTCCATATCGTCCCAGTTGGTGATGATGCCGTGTTCGATGGGGTACTTGAGCGTGAGGATACCTCTCTTGCTCTGGGCCTCGTCTCCTACATAGGAGTCTTTCTGGCCCATGCCGACCATGACGCCCTGATGGCGCGGGCGGCCCACGATGGAGGGGAACACGGCGCGGGGCGCGTCGTCGCCGGCGAACCCCGCTTTGCACATGCCGGACCCGTTGTCCACGACAAGCGCACCCGCATCGTCGTCACACATGGCTGCTAGCGCTGGGGCCTCTCACTGCTGACGAAACGAGATCTCGGGATATCTGCAACAAACCACACGATTATACTCCCTCAGTTCTCTTCACAATTGCAGCTCTATTTTAATCACGAACGCGATTTGTGCTTCTGTTAAAGACAAGCAATCCGTCACAGCCGTCCGTCACACCCCGAGTCGACTCCCCTTACAATAGTTTAATAATAGCACATAATAGCAATACTATAGTTCGATCGGTTAGATGAAAGCTCAAAGAACAGAATTATTTTCTCAGTATCATTAATTTAGCGCATTATTTCAGTGGTTATTTATTCAGCTACAAAATTAATTAATCCAAAAGCTTGAAGCTTAGCACTGGCAAGATAAAGTTGTAGTTGCACAAGTTGCAGCGTTTAAAAAATCACTTGAAACTTTGATATTACTGAATCTAGAATAAATTTGAAACAACGAGAACAATAGGAAATATGTAAGTACACCGTTCACAAAACTTTGGTCACAGAGGAGAGTTGTCACTAGTAGATATGGGATGTGGAAACTCACAGCGCTGGCGGCGAGGCGACAGCGGCGGCAGTGAGCGCTCGCGGCCGGCGCGGGGCTATATACCGGGCGGGTGGGCCGCGACCCGCCGCGGTTGGCCCGCGCGCCAGCCCCTACAAGGCGCGGGGATGCGCCGACTGCCATTTAAGACCATCTGCGTGCGCTAATTGCATCGGCGCTCGTGAAAAAATAGAATCGAATCAGACTCACGTGCAAGCAACGGGTCGACCTACGGAAGTTATTTATCTATTGACGCGGCGAGCTCATGCTGTGATTGTGATGATAACGTTAGCTGGGGGCAATTCGCCTAACGGAAATGCTTTGGAAAATGCTAATGCTTTCTATTTTATTTTGTTATTTCTGACCGCCGAAGATTTTCAAATACCTCACGCTCATTTTTTTTAATATTGTTATTACCAATGAAAAAGAAAAAAAAAGAGCGCGACGCATTTGAAAACCTCAGGCGGCTAGAAATAACAAAATGAAATCGTAAGCGTTAGCGTTTTCCAAAGCATTTCCGTTAGGCGAATGGCCCCCGGGCCAGACGAAATCTAGCAATGATTAATTCGATTCCAGTTTTTTTTTGTTTTTTTTTTTTAAATTTGTAACTTTTACTAACCCCTTAAACTAAGGGATGGAAGTTTGTATGGGATCCACATGAGATCTGATAACTTTTCGACAGAGGGAGTTATTATGGTCTCGGCTTAGCAACATTTTACAGGAAAATGTTTTTGGTTGGTATTATTTACACAAAATGTGCATTTTGAAAAAACGAATGGGGCTACCTTTTCGTGTTTTCTTTGTGTGTACCTATATTAATGTTACTATTAATGTTTAATTATTTCTTCCAGTCTAATAAACCAAAATTGAACGACTATTATTCTTAAACTAACAAATCTATCTTAACCGTTATAGTTTTCCTTAAAAGTTTACGAAAAGCACTATTATTATCATTTATTACAGGATTTTCAAGCCAATAGTTTAGCTTTTTTACGCCCTACTCGAACATTAGCACTTTAAAGTTCAATATTTCGCAAACGAAGAAGCTAGTAACATAATCTTTAGGTTACTTATCATATTTTTAAAGTTATCCGTCCTCGGTTTTGCCTGGAGTCACGTCGACAAAATGGTAGATTTTTTTTTTTATAATTTTTTAGGGAAGCTCCCCTATATGTAACCTGGGGATGATTTTTTATTTCATCGTCTACCCCATCGTGTGGGATATCTTTGAAAAGTTCCTTTAAAATGACTTAGGGTTTCTAAAGACTATATTTCGATTTAGTGATCCATTTGCGAAATATTGAAAATTAAAGCGCAAATTTTTGTTCTAGTTGGGCGACCTCCCCCCCCCCCACCCCTAAAAGCTAAACTATTGGCTTGAACAACCTGGAAAAATGAATGATAATAGTGCTTTTCATTAACTTTTCAGGAAAACTATAAGAATTAAGATAGATTTGTTAGTTTTAAGAGTATAGTCATTCAACTTTCGTTATAGAAAATGTCTTACCTATTGAAAATTCCTTAGAAGAAAACATTAATAATAGTGATATAGATGAAGTTATTATAGCATAAAACCTTACATTTTGAAATAAAATCTAAAAAATCTAAAAACAACTATTTATAAACCACAATAAAATATCATTAGTTCCACAAATTTACAGCGAGTATCGACATCAACGGCTTCTGAATAGTATTATCGTTACGAATTAATAAAGATTAAGCACTTGAACAGATGGTGGTTATCCTTCGTATTTAGAAATATATATATATATAATATATATATAGAATTTCTTTTGAGTTTGAGACGCAGTTTGACTTTCGATTTTAGTTGAAGTACATACGAAACGTCAATAAATAAATAAAGTTTCGTGCACCCGTAAAAACTAGTTTTATTTAATGAGTGATGTGCGTGAAAACCTAAGAAACAAATATGAAATACATAGTTTGATATTAATAGATTTTTTTAGTATCAGATACAGAAAAAATTTAACACAAATATATGTAAGTAAAAATCAAAATATTTTTCTTAAAAAAAATTAACTTCAAAAGTCTTGGGATCTGAACTTTTGCAGTAAAATTATCAAATCAATACATATTTACAAAATTTAGTTTTTCAGACTGAATTTTTTCAATTATTCTTCTGTTAATTTAATATTTTTTTTGGTTTCGAGTGATTTGTTATTTTAACTAATTTTTCGAAATGATTAAATCACGTCAATGTTCATGAACAATACCTTTGATTATTATAATCAAAAATTTAAAAAATCAAAAAACCCGACTGCTTAATTATTTTATTAACAGAATTATAGACTACTGGACTTGTTTTTTTCTTTTCAGTTTTTATTTGAAGAATAATTAAGCAGTCGGGTTTTTTGATTTTTTAAATTTACCTTTTTTATTTCACACTTTTTAGTTAGTATTTTAAGATGGTATATACCGTAGTCTTGATACTTCAGTAAGGGAATTAATATCGCGGGAATTATTAAGTACCTTGCGTCGGTCTAAAAGATTGATTTATTAAGACATATAAAGACTTTACCAGCGGGGTCAAGGCTACAGATGGGCCTCAATTTTCGCAAAAATGTGTAAAGTTAAATCAAGTCGTTACATAAATATCTCTAATGTATGTAAATTTTATAGTAAACTTACTCAAAAAGTCATCTTTTGTTTATGTTTTTTTTTAATAGTTTAGCAGTAAATATAAAATTCATTTACTTTTATTCGTCGACTATTTAAAATTGGCAGTAGCTGCATTGTCATGTCAATGCTGGACGTCTAAGATTGTGATATACACAAATTCAGTGTCAGTCCCTAGTCTCATAATTTGATATACCTACATAATTCACAGAAACCCAATATGTAGATGCCAGAAGTTAACTTCAAATGTTTTTAATCAACCTATATACAATACCAATCAATGACGTTTATGTCGCAGGTTGAAGAAAGCAGTAATTCCCGTCTGTTGTTTTGGACAATGGTGGCAACTGCCTTAGATCACTAAATTAAATAATTATGCAATCACCAAAGCAAAGTTTATAATGGTGCCGATTCTAGCGTGATTCTCTAAACTTATAACTAAATTTAACATCAGTCTCTCCTTTTCATTTTGTATAGAGAATGACAAGGATGCACTGTTGTCAAATTTAAGTTTAGCTTTAGAGAATCATGCCAGAATCGACATCAATATTTGATTAAACTAAAGGCGCATAATAAAATTTTCATAACGTTAGGTAGAGCACCATAGCAATCTCATTTATTATCAATTTATAGTTCTCTTTGTAGTTTTCTTTTTAAAGCGTTCACATTTAACAGGTCAAAGACTTTGTGTTCGACCCTTTTTTATTGGTAGTGTAAAGCTCGAATGAAGAGTACTCCCAGTAGTGCAATCATGGCAATTATTTTCCAATTTTTTTTTTGTTATAAAAATACCGAATAACGTATCACTGTTAAGCACAAATGCTAAGTAACTTTTACAGATATAATCAAATAAACCTATTACTTACTTTATTTTTAAATCTTTTTCATCAATTAAATACTTATCTTAACTATCTATACTAATATTATAAAGAGGCAAGATTTGTATGTTTGTAACAAATAATCTGTGAAACTACTGAATCGGTTTCAAATATTAATTCATCATAAGGTAGCTACATTTTTCTTTATTTAAATACAATTTGTCCGAGTGACATAGGCTATATTTTATCCCGATAAATAAATTTCGCCCGTACAATGCCCCGGTGGATCCCCAGTAAGTATAATATAATATTATAGATGCGAAAGTGAGTTTGTTTGTTGCGCTTCCGTGCCCTAATAGCTAAATCGAATATAATGAATTCCCATATAGAAGTAGATGGGAACTTGGTTCTTAGCTACAACATCGCAATACTTATAGGCGTAGGGTGATGAAAGGGGTGATTTACCTATAAAAATCTACATTATTTACTTTGAATTTTGCAGAATTATTACAAAACCAATATTATCGTGAGCTGATTAATAAATACAGGGATTCCAATAAGTATGTACTTACTAGCGAAAAATGGGTTATTTGTCATTATATTAAGTGAACCTTTTTGTAACATTAAGTAATATTGTTAAAAAAATGAAAAACAGTAAAATTCTGAGTTTTTCATTAAAATTCAATAATCATAAATACCTATTATGATAAAATATTTTTCATAAGAAGGAACTGTCTCACAGTTTTATTGTTAGTACTTCGTATAGGATCAGATACTGCGAATACCCCATTTTTTTTCTTTTACATAGTACACCGCGCTATCACTTTGTCATCGTTGTAACTTTTTAAATATTTGTCGAAATCACATAGTGTAAAAATCAAAGTTTATCGTCTAAATATATAAATAAATAACCTCAAATTTACAAACAAGAATTTTAAATAAAATACTTTATTAAGTAAATTAAATAATAAATTCATACATAGACAATAAAAATTTTAAAAATCTTCCAATGAAATAACCGAACGCTCAATATAAGTCTTTCGAAGGTAGCTCGACAATTTTAAATAAAAAATCATTATTCTGACGATGCAGACCTGAAAAGGCTGCGAAACGTCAATAAATAAATAAAGTTTCGTGCATTAACCCGTAAAAACTAGTTTTATTTAAATAATATTTTAGTTTTAATTTTACTATTTTAGCGGTAATGACTTACACATTAACAATAGATATATTGTGTCACGGACTTCTTTTTAGAACTATTTAAGAGATACATTTTCATTCTACATTACATTCATGTAACTTTTATTGTTTTTGCAGTGCAGGCCAAAATGGCTCGCAGATGGGAGATTTTTTTCCGTCTTATGTGACACTTATTGTTATATATTGGCCAATTCACTCAATAACTACATAAATTATTATATATATGTAATTATCATATATGAGCTACATTACTGTTAAGTTTCATTAAAATCCATTCAGTATTTTTTAGGTGAAAGAGTTACAAAGATCCATACAAACGTAAGATTGAAATTAAAAGCGTAAGTGGTTAATATACAACTTTAAAGCGTTGTAGATCCTAAACAATCATATAAAATGAAAAATGGTGTTACGAACCTAAATATAATTTTTGATTATCTAGACAGTGATA